GCTGTACACCTGAAACTAACATTGTAAATCAACTACACATCAATAAAAAATGAAATTAAAAACAAATAAAAAAAGAACTTACTATCAATAGATGTTCATAAAAGGACATGCCAAAGGATATACATAGAAAAAAAGAAAGTAATCCCAGAAGGAAGCTCCAAAATGCAAGAAGTATAGATGACCAAAGAAAACTGTAAACATTCTATAAATCTAAATAAACATTGGCTGTCCAAAATAATAGCAATATTGTCTAAATTCAAATATTACTGGATGATTTTACATATGTTGGGAGACTGTGAATGGAGTTAAAATATTATAAGGCTTTGTGTTGTTTAGAGGAGGCTAAATATGTTGTTGAATTAAATATGCATGTCAAAATTTCTATATAATATCTAAAATAAGTAAACAGTAACAGTGTGTATAACTTCTAGTATATTAGAGGGGATAAAATTAAGTAGGGGAAACTTAATCCCAAAAAATGGATAAGAAATTTTAAAAGCAGGATGAATAGTTTAAAAAATTGGCAGAAAATATTTGAATAATTACAATCAATGTAAATATATTAACTCCTCAATTAAAAGGCAGAAAATGTCAAACTGAATTTTTTAAATGCAGCAAAATTCTGTTTACTGCAAACATACTTAAAACATAAGAACACAGAAAGGTTAAACTTTTTTAAAAAGATTACAATATATGTATATAATATATATACCTACACACATATATATACACAATACACACAGATATATATAAAGAGAGAGACTACTTTAATATAAACATACTCTAAACTTCATCAGTGTCACTCATATCCAATGAAATGTGTGCACATAGGCATTGAAAGACATGTACAAAAAAATGTGCATATCTGCATTTTTCATAATGGCAAAAAAATGGAAACTCAGGTAGCTATCAATGATAGACTAATGAATGATAAATGAATTTCAGTATATTTTTACTATATATTATACTACAATGAAAATGAACAAACCACAGCTACAGGCAACAACATGATGAATGCCACAAAAATAATTTAAATGAAAGAAGCTAGACACAAACACATACTGTAGGATTCCATATTTCAAAAGCAGGGAAATCTAAACTACAATTTTAGAATTCAGGATTGTAGTTAAGGAGGGAAGACTTTGGGAGAAAGGAAAGAGTCACTGATTGAGAGAGGAGTCATGAGGAAACATTCTCCATCTTAGCCTAGGACGTGACTATATGGATATAGTCACTTAGAAACTATTCATCTAGCTGTCTTCTTATGATTTGCATGCTTCTCCATGAATATTTTGTATTTCAAAAAATTTTAAATAAAAATTAGCTCCCTGTTTTTTTTAGATTAAATCTAAATGTAAGTGTTTTTCAAAAAAAAAAGCAAAACTAAACCATCGTGTTTAGGCATACATATTGAGGTAGAAAAACTATTTTTTTAAAAAAGGCACAAAAGTGATTAACATAGAAGTCATGGTAGTTGTTCCTTTGGGGAGGAGGAGCAAGAGTGGGTGTCTGGGTACTAAACAAAGTTCTATTTTTTTGACATGAGTAGTAGTTGCACGGATGTTTGTAATAAATTGTTATTGAGCTGTGTATATTCTTTGTTTTGGGCATTCCTCTATATGAATATTTCACAATAAAATACTTTGAAGCAAGTTTCAAAAAAGATAATGTAGGAGAATATCTTCATGACTCTTAAAACACAAACTCTCACCATAAGGAATTGATCAATTCATCTGCATCATATTTGACACCGTAAAAAGAGTAAAAACTCAAGCCAAAGAGGTGGCAAAGTTTGTTAGAAAGCATTCAACCCAAAAAGGACTATAATCCACATTATATAAATAACTCCCAGAAATTAAATAAACAATTTTCAAAACATAATCCAGTACAAAGCTGCACCAAAAGAAACCTTTTTTATAGGTTCTGCACATATGAGGAAATCCAAATGGCCAATAAATGTACAAATAATACACAACCATATTAATAACTGGGGAAAGCAAACTAAAATGAAATACGACTATACATCCACCACAATATACCCATAAGAATGGCTGAAATTAATAAATCTGGAAATGCTAAGTGTTAGCAAGGATGTGGAGCAATAGAATCTCTCATTCATGATAGTAGGAAAATAATTTGGCATTATCCACTAAAGTTGAAGACCAAAAAACTCTGCCCAAGCAGTTTGACTTCTGAGTATATGCCCTCAATAACTATGTGCACAAAGGTATCAGAATACATGTGCAAAAAATGTTAACAGTGCATTGATTGTAATAGCCAACACAAAATTCCAGCTACAGAATAATGGACCATACAATGAAATATATACAGCAGTGAAAAATGAGTGAACTACAGATAACAAGCCTGTAAGTGGCCTCTTTGGGAATGAGAAAAAGGATAATTCCCTAGGCAGATGAATTAGAAAATGACAGCCCAGTGAGCCCACAGCCTAGCAGCAGACACAGCTTTTGTACCCAAGGAAAAGGTCCCACCCTCCAGGAGGAAATCTCCCTCTGCTAGGCAAGGACCTTTGTGCAGTGCTCAGTTTGCAACAGTGCTGGGAGCGCTACCAAGGACCTTCCAAAGCTTTGTAATATTCTACTTCTCACACTGGATGGAGTGTACATGGGGTTTGTTTTTCATAATCATTCTTCAAATTGTTTCTGTATTTATATATTATGTATTTTTACATTATATACTATATTTTACATAGATGTTGTGCACAATTTTTTAAATATTAAAATATTTAGCCATGTGATGAAATGAAGTACCACTGTACCCAACACAGACCTTTGCCAGTACTTCAGTGCCATTCCTCCTCTGTGTTCAATCTAAAATCAAAGAGTTCTGAAGGATATTAGAATGATGCTTTTCTTAACCTCTTGTGGCTCTTTTCAGAGTTAGGGCAAGTTACTCATGTGCAGGAAAACAGGATTCCTCATCTTTCAGCCCCTATCCCTATCTTAAATAAGAGGTTTTGTCTGTTTTCTCATCCAGGATTTATACATAGTGGTAAGAACTAAATGTGCAAACCACTAGAAGTTGGTGGGCACCTGTAGTCCAAGAAATTTCCCTAAAACCGGAAGAGTAATTTCATTATAAGGGATCTGGCATGTCCGATTTCATCGGACCTGACCTGAGAGGAAGCAGAGAGACAGATGAACTCGGAAAGTTCTTTGCCAGCCCAGGAGTCTTGGATTCTGAGATGCTGCAGCTCTGAGATCTTGACTCTTCCAAAGAATCTCAAGACCTTTTTTTTTTCTTTTCGGTAGGAAAGAAGACTGAAACATCTCTCCTAGCTTCCAAGCAGTCCTGCCATCTTCAGAAGGGGTCATTGGAGTCCACCAATCCAAGTCCCAAATCATAAAGAGAAAGTTTTGCTTATTATATGGAAGCTCTTCCCACACTTCAGACCCAAGAAATGCTTGGCCTCAGCCAACTATAAAGTTGGATCAAACCAAGTACTCACAAAGGGACTGAAGGATGATCTAATTCACAGCACAACCCTTTTTTTAAACTGTTTTTTTCAAATACAAAAATAATATATAATCATTGGGAAAATTCAAAAAATTTAGAAGAATAAAGAATAAAGAGCAAAATTTTCTCTGTATGCCCTAATCTTATTCCACTCTCTAAAAGTAAACTGTGAAGTATACCCTCTGACAACTCTTTTTATACATTTATAAAATGCACACACTCACACAATTATTTTTCTTAACATAAATGGGATCATACTACAATGTTCTATATTTTTACATATAGTATTTACATATAATATTCCATATTAATCTTTTCATATTAGTAAATTTAAGCTATTTCCAGTTTTCTTTATTAATAACAGTACAATAAGTGTATACTCGTGTGTATATTTGTGTACAGCAGATTCCTAGAAACAAAATTGCCAAGTTACAGAATAACGCATTTAATAGAAAAACAAGGTCCTACTGTATAGCACAGGGAACTATATTCAGTAGCCTATAATGAAAAAGAATATGAAAAGGAATATATGTGTGTGTGTGTGTGTGTGTGTGTGTGTGTGTGTGTGTGTATAACTGAATGTATGCTGTACACCAGAAATTAACACTACATTGTAAACTGACTATACTTCAATTAAAAAAAGAGTAATGTATTTCAAATTTGATAGACATTACCAAAACTACCTGTGAAGAGGCTTTGTAAACAGTATAGAAAAATGCCTATTTGCTTCAACTTTCACCAATAGATATTATGTGTATATATATATTTTTTGCCAGTTTGATGAGCAAAAACAGTGGCACAACTGAGGTTGAGTATATGCTTCCTGGCCAGTGGTTTGTTTGGTTTTTTTCAGTGAATTAGTTATCCATATCCATTGCCTATTTTTCTACTTGCAACTTCCTCATTTTGATCATAATAGTAGCTCCTATATAATTGAGCACTTGGCTGTGTGCCAGCCACTGCACTAGGTGGTTTAAAATGATTTTTTTCTTGAAACAACCATTTTACAGATGAGAAATATGAAAAACATGGAGATGAAATTCAAACCCTTTTTTACTGGCCTCTTTTACTCTAAAGGCTCCCCTTTCTCCACCATACCACTATAACAAAAAGCCTTATTTTACTAAAATATGTAAACCCCAAAGGGAAGCAACTCACCCAGACACTCACAGTCTCACAGCTAGGACACTCATCTCAATCCGGACCACTGGTGGGCTTTTTCCTGGTCTTCCCAGAAAACAAACATGAAAACTGCCAAAAGGCTGTTCGGGCAAATGTATCGGACTCAGCTGCCTGCTATCTGTGTCCTTAAAGATAAAGAGCCAGCAGGACAAGGGTCGAAGATAAATAAAATAGAAACACCAAGAAACATGGAGACCTTGGCCCCATTCCATCCATATCACAGTCAAGGCAGAGGGCTGATGGCCCTGCAGATCAGCCCTAGGGACTGGTATGGTTTTCAGCCAACTCCCAGCACCTACTTACCGTGCTAAAGTGTTTTTTAAAACTCTGAGGCTGAATGAACTATTAATCACAAGCAGGAGTAGAAAATAGTTTGAGGTTCTGCTCTTTATAAAATCAAAATGTTTATTTTATAATCCTTTTATTAATTAATGAAAAGTGTCCCTAAGACTTCTACCTCTATTTTTCTCAGATGTGATTAACCTAATAAGAAATACTATAGGAAATATGATTTTCTGATTTTATTGTTCATATTGGTAATAATCCTCTAAAGAAAAGGAGGATGGGGTAAATTAAGTTCAAGAAATTTCCAAAATCCTTTCTTTCAAAAAACATTAATTAAATGTCATTGTAATGAGTTGGTAAAAGCTTGATACTGGGCACATGAATATGCATTAAACTATTCTTTATACTTTTGTATAATGAAACTTTTCCAATAATAAAAAGTTTATGGAAAAAAAAAAAAGACCTATGTGCCATATACTGGGCTGGGCCCTGGAGGTCAGCAATGACTAGAACATAGTTCCTGTTCTTTTGAGGAGCAATAATCTCTTCCATTATCATGTTAACATGTTACGTGTTACAAAGTACTTTCATATGTATCATCTGATTCATCCTGTAAACACAATTGCATATTCAACCTGGAAGCCTCCTACATTTTATACTTCCTTTTCTTTCTAATCTTTCTTTGTTTTCCACGATAAATCTAATCTAGTGAGGGCCAGGTCTCTAACAGTTTGGACCATGGGTGGAAGAGGGAGGGGTGAAAGAAATAGGGAAAAGACCTTTATCCTATGGGTAAGGAGCTGGGTGGAGTTAGTTTCAGGATGCTTCAGATAATATTATCGGAATCTTATATCACCCTTTTAAACACTTTGGGTGAGCCTTGCACTCACAAAAATCTTCCCTTGAGTTTAGGATGATACTCCTATTTTATGACTGTTAAACTGGGTCGCAAAAAAACAGCTACTTTCCCAGGATTTGATGGCAAAATGGAATAAAATTTCCTACCTTTGACTCCCAGAATCTCATTCCATGAAGCTCAGCCATGAATGGCAAAGGACTAATGCTTTCAACTAAATTATGTTTTAAATCATATTGATTACCCACTCCACAGGGCGGCATTTATGTTTGGAAGGCTGTCACCCTCAACTCTCCCAGTCCACAGAATATGTTCTGATTCAATTCTCTTTTAGAAGTTTCTCCCCACTAATTTTTCCCCATGTGGTTGTAGGGTCCTATACATGTATACAAATGTCCTAACTTAACCAGTTAGCCCTGAAAATTTTCAGAGGTCAGATGTACTGGGAATACCCTCTCGCTTCTTTGTTGTCTAATTAACTGTATGAAAAGGAGCATGAGTTTATGCTCAAAGACTAGATAAGCACTCACCTATTATCCCTATTGCACCCACAATTACTTTGTCCTCCCAGCCTCAGTTTCCCTATTTGCACACAGCCTAGAATCAGCTGCTTCCTCCCTCCTTCCTAGGAAGTTTAGACAGATTCCAATATAAAAGCAGAGCCAATAGCTCTCCAAGTTCTTTTAGAGACACAGATAATCGATTCCTTATTAAAAGATCTACAGGAGCCACTATAATGCAGTCAACACAATTTCCCAGAATGGACCTAGAATAAAAGGCAATAGACAGAGGTGAGGTGGCTGGAAAGACGCCCCAGTTCCTCCCATCATCACCCCTCCAGCTTTGTGGGGGAGCTATAGAAGCAATCAGCCTGACTCACAGATGGCACTGTTGCTCCCAGGCCAAAGAGCATTAAGAAGTGATATGCTGCTTGGCCCCATAGTCGGTGCATGACAAGCATTATGGGATATATATGTTACAGGACTGGCTGGCTTTTCCCTCAGCCCTTCATAGTCTAGCATCTGCCTATCTCATTCGTGTTCTCATTGCTGAGAATTCTAGTCACTGACAAAGGAATGGGGGTAAACGGCCAGACTAGAAGACACCCCTGCAGCCCCAGGGAGAAGAGCTGGCTCAAGTTGCAGGATATCTAATTGCTTGAGAAGGGAAACCTGAGATTGTCCCCAGTGGCTCTAAGCATTTCTGTAAGCATCGCCTGTTTTCAGCAACTCCCTGTGCCATGCTGCCAAAAGATTTGGTGGAGCGAGGTGAATAGCCAGAGCGAAAAGCTCCCATTATCCCTAAAACAAACCCACTTCACTTCCCAGCCTCTGGGAGAACACCAAGTAAGGAGAAGAGCAACCAATGAGGTGTGGGTTGAAAGCATTACCTCATTAGGGTGAGCCCCCATTGGCTGAAATTACTCTGGGCAAGGCTTTCGCCGAAGTAAATTAACCCTTGTCAGAAATACACACCCTTGCCTCCCTTGCTGCTCGTTATTTTCAAATTAAGAAACAAGGTGGATGGGGAACAACAGACCTTTCCCTAATGTTATTCATAAGCATACACAGTTATACAATGGTTATGAGAAGGTTTAGATCTCCTCTCCCCAAAAATTATTATCCAATGCCTTTCAGACAAAAAAAGGAGCCACCTCCAACAGAATAATAAGGGAAAGTCAGAGAGGATGAGGCAAAGCAAATAAATTATCAGTCTTGTTCTAAACCTGCAGTGGAACTCTCAGAGGGACAAAGACCAAAAAGAGTAATAAAAATCAAAACACCTTGGGACAGATTGGCAAGAAAATGACTTGTTTTGCAATTTAATTTTTAAAGTTATCCTCATAGGTACAGCCTCCATTTTTAGTGAAAACTGCTCCCCCTCAAAAATCCTGTGTTTTTTTTTCAAATAAGTATCAGCAACAAATTTCTAGCTTATGAATTCAATCCTATAATGAATAAATCTCTCAGTAAACCTGCCTTCCTGCTATCAAAGCCCCATACTTGACAGAACCAAGAACAAGCTGTTTTCTTTTTAATGTGTGCTTCAGAAACCGTTTGGATTCAGCGATTAAAGGGAAAAGGAAGCACGTCTCCTACAACAGACTTGTTGCTATCTCATAGAAGTTCATCCTCACCTAAGTGTTGATTTGCAAAAAAGGCATGAAAACAACTCTAATTTCAAATATTGAGAGATGAATATTTGAGAAGGTAGTTCTATTCCCATATTATAGGCAGAGGCTATTTGAGAACATAATTACATCTTTTACTCTAAATTGCTTTAAATTTAAAATCGACAGCATATAGGGGGCAAATTTGTTGTGGTTTGTTGTTCTCCTAAGGGCTCTAAAGCAGCTATTTTTTAGTGAGTAGGCTAAACCAATGACTGGTTTACTTTTGCTACAATATAACTCATACTCAAGACTCCTGCTTTGTGGTCAGACCTATTTTGAGCCCAGCTCAGACTGCAGCCAGCAGGTTCCAATCATGTTGGAATCTATGGCAAAGTCTTCAAACTGGAATTCTACAGCAGCAATTTAACCACATTTAAAACAGGGCTAAAATAACCAAAATCTTCTGGAGAGAACGGATTTTGACTTGGGGATATCCTTGGGAATAAATTATGCAGACAAAAGGACCTTGAAAAAAATGATTATTCACTTTGGTGGTCATGTCCCAGGTGCCCTGTAAAGCCTTTATCTGTGATATCCTCACTTGCTAAACTGACGTTTATTCAGTGTTTCTACATGCCTGGTGCCATTATTATAAAGATGTGTCAAACTCCTCTTGATTTAAGTTT